CCCCAAAACCCCAAAACCCCAAAACCCCGTTATGGGGTGGAAGGGTTGAAATTGTAAGAAGGATAGATAAATAATAACAAATTTTTAAAGAAATATGAAAGATAAAGTGATAAGAGCTAAGAATAGAAATAGGCAAAAAGGAATTGTCATAAAGCATAAGATTTATGAAGCAAAAGAGGTGAAGGTGAATTTTGGTGTATAGAATAAATCTATAATTTTGGAGATACTAGTTGAGTAGTATGAAGATTATAATGCCCTTTAGTGTTTGATGGATTATCAAAAATGACATAGATATTTTATTAAATTTTAATTGAACTTTAGGAATTTTTGGCGAAATTATGGACTAAGAAAAATTCATATAATAGAATTCTGCAAAATCAGATTATTAAAGTAGACTAAAAGAATAAATTTTTGAGAAATAAACCTTGCTTTCAAAAAATTATCTACTAAGACCTTAATAGTATTTTTATATCTCAAGTAAAAATTATAGAAAGCTTTTAGAATTTCTTCAATTTTTTCTCGACAAAACCTCCAAGTCTATCACCCTTTTGTGAACCAACTTAATAATATAGTACAATACGAAAAATTCTTACCCAAATCTGAAAAAGGGAGAAAATTGTCTAAATTATAAAAAAGGCGAACTAAAGACTAGTCTGAATGACGAGATAACAAAGGTAAAGCCTTGAGTAATGTATAGATCGATCACAAAATAAGTCTTCTCCTAAAAGAAGCGTCTTCGAAGGTAAGCAATACTAACCGAACTTTCCATATTTTATCATTTTATTATTTATATCTAAATTACCTTGAACAATTATGGTGACCCACTTCTGTTATGGTTGGAGAATTAAGAGATAGAAGCCAAGAATGAGTGTTAGGTGTTATCTAATCTTCAAAATAATTACATTTGCACTCCTCTTGTTGTTTTCTTTATTTTAATTAGAATAATAGTATTGTATTATAAGTCAAAAATTTTATCGAATTTATGTAGGAGGGAGATAGCTGCGAGTCTGGAGAATTCAGATCAGAGAGAATTTCCGATAAATCAAGCCAAGAGTACTCCTTTTAGATAATTATAGACTCTTATTTAGTATTGATTTGAACCCAAACAGTGAGGAATATTGCCCACCTAGAGTATTGGATGCTAAATTCAGGTATTTTAAATATTTCCATACTTCACTTTTTTAATAAAAGCTTAATGATGTTCTAGGAAAAAGAGATCTAGAAGAAAATGCAAGGCTATGGGCATACCCAAAGTAAGTACTTTCTTTTAGACATAATTTCACTTATTTTAGCTCCCACTTCAAAGAGAAGAGGTTAAAGAAAAACCGAATTATGAATGTGAAAATGACAGTTACGAGAATGAGGAAGAGGTAGAAGCTCATCACCATCAGTATAAGTAAGTCTTTTAGCCTTACTGATATAGCTATCTTGAGTCTATTATGGAGATGCCAAGTTTCCAGGAAAGAGGATCCTATTCTTTAATTCTTTCCAAAGCTCCATCAGTAGATTACTATGATGCTTATATTTTTGAATTAAAAGAACTCTCCAGCTCTAAAGGTTTACTCTTATCCTAACCACATAGCTCTCAAAAAAGAGTGCCTTACATATTCACAAAGAACACAAGCAAGGCACTAAAGTACAAAAACCTTCAGCCTACCAAAAAGTCCAAATCTGCTTCCAATCTCCCTAAAGTCCATCCTCCAAAGCCCCTCTCATCCTTCCCAAAACCCCCTAAAAAGTAACTTTATTCCTCTTTCAGTCCTATTTCGCTCCTCTGGGGTTTTGGGGTTTTGGGGTTTTGGGGTTTTGGGG